CAACAAAGAGGAAGGGGAGGAATTTAAAAACTTCAATTTGGAGGCCCAATTCCCCCTTCTTTTACTTTAAGGAATAATTTTTATTCCCCATTGGTCCAAAACAACGTAAAATTAAATGAAAAAAGATAACCTTAAGTAACTCTTACTTCCCGGAGTACCCTTCCCGTACTTGTAACATAAAGGGGAACCTTTTTTTATCAGTTTGCATCATTAGTAGGAGGTGAATATTTGGTTATCTTAAAAAGCATTGCCCCGGCCAAAATGATCAATAAATCCGCTAAATGAAAAGATTGATTAAATACTCCTTTCAGATGAAAAAAAAACTGGTGCTGTGGATTTCGTTACTCGATGGTATCGAGCGCTTCTTCCTTTTTGCTCACAGGACCTTGTCTTCGGATACTTTACAAGGCAAATATTATATGATGAGCAAAGAAATGGAATAGGCTTACTGAGGAATTCTTGGTGAAGCATTTGTGGCACCTCACAATATTGTTTTGATGCAAGTACATTAATATTTAAATCACCAAAAAAGAAAGGCATTAAAAATTGAGGTACATTTCACTTCATAACATAAAATGAATTTTTCTGGATAACTGAACAGGGAATTCCTCAGTAGCCTATTCCATTTCTTTGCTCATCATATAATATTTGCCTTTGTAAGTACTACGAAGCTAAGGTTCCTGTGACACATATCAGCGCCATTGCCAATTCTGCCAATTTGCAGTTTGCAAGCATGGTCCACTTGAGCAAAAGGAAGAAGCCTCGATACCATCAGTAACGATCCACAGCACGAGTTTTTCGTCTGAAGGGGTTTTAATCAATTTTTCATTTAGGGCATTTTATTGATCATTTTTGGCAATGTTTTAGATCACCAAAATTCACCTCCTACTATTGATGCAACTGATAAAAAGGTTCCCCTTATGTTACCAAGTACGGAAGGGGTACTCCGGAGTACTTAAGTTATTTTCATTTAATTTACGTTGTTGACAATGGGAATAAATTATTCTTAAAGTAGAAGTGAATGCTCATTTGAGTATTTTTTCAATTTAAGGCACTGTAAAAGCAGTCTTCCTTAGTATTTAATAGCATAACATAATCTTATACCAAATAATAACCAATCATACCATACCATTGTATTATACCAAAACTTAAATTTCTAAATATTCCCAAAATACTCAATTTTCAGTTTTTGTGAGAATCATGAATTTTTACTTACACCCAGGCATTCCAATTCTAAATATTGTGGCAAATTTAAACATACTCAAAAAAATCCCAACCAAACAATTTTTCCTAAAAAATTGAAAGCCATAAAAATAATCAATGGTCTTTTATATCTACATATATAAATTCATGAAGAAACTTAATTTCTTTCTTCTTATTCTAAGTTGTAAAATTTTTAAAAACCAACCTAATTTTGTCACCTTAATTCAATTAATATATTTTCATGTTTATGCTATAAGTGAAACAAGTTGTAATATTGTCAAAGATTTCATTACACTATTTCAGCAACACCATTACGGCATGTAAATTGTGAATTCAACATCCCACATTCATTATTTTGTATTTCTTTAAAATATGGAACAATAATTTTTTATTATATTGGAGACTATAAAATAACGAATTTAGGTATTACATCTAACCAAGGTGAATAAAAAATGCACCTCGCATCAAACATTGCACTTATATGCAATTTCTTATTACTATTTACTTAGATTTATTACAATTTATTGAATCACCCATTAAATTATTCAATTTAATTGTTTGCAAATTGACCAAATGCAAACAACCATCGACTGGATCATTAACACTAATTTTTAATAGATTTTCCCAAGGGTCTACAAAGGGATTTCTGAGTTGGTACATTTGCCTTGCATCTGTACAAAAATCTTCGTCAGTGCATAAACAAAAATACCGACGTTTCAGGAAAACGAAAACATCATAGTAGCTTCACAATCCTGGAGCTAATAGCGAAATTGATTTTACTCAATGTTTGTATTTTCACTTTTGCATAGAAATACAAACAGAAAACTGAAGTTCCACTTACCACGTGGGAAGTCGCCGGATGCAACGAGCTTCCATTTTCCGAGCTTTGAATTTCCTTAAATGTTCATTACTGATAAAGAATATGTTCAGGCGCTGCATATCAAACTTTGTTCATGCTGAACTCAACAGCTAAAAGACGTAGCATGACATATCTTGCGTCACCGTGATGAAAACATTTGGTGCAATTATATACTCTATGGAGATATCCATGGTTATCCCCACAAAGACATTCAAGCTTCTTGAAGGTGTAATATGTAACCACCATCGGAATCTGCACAACACACGCAAATAATGAAACTGCAAGAGAAGTTACAAATCACAACTTAAAAGTACCATTTATGCCAGGAGGATGCGACGTTCCGATCCACGTGCCGCGAGCACTGGCGCGCACATGGCAATGCCGAACGGGTCCCGGTGGGGGTGACCAGAGAGTATATTACCAGAGAGTATGGGGGTGACCGGGTGAGCTTAGAATGACAACAGTTTTTCTCAGAGTTCCCCCACCATCAATCTAGCCTACGGGTGACGTCACGGCTGGGTGTTTGCTATTGGCCAGCCAAGACTTCACCATGACAAGACCAACCATGACGTCACTCTTTGCCAAGCACGTGTGTCATGCGACCCACCGTAGTTGCTTGTCAGTATAATTTGTGTAAAGTAGCAGTGTACCATGATAAAACACGATGAAAGAAACATAAAAATCCTAGCATTTTATAGATCCCCAAAATTAACCTTAATGACTTTCTTACAAGTTGGAAGAACATTGTAAACTAAAACTTATAGCAACAACAATAGTAAGTTAATTATTTTGGACATCTGACATTAAAATTGAACATAATGAACTGCACATTTACTAAAGAAGCTTCAATAACATGATGTTAAATTATTTAATCACTGTTGCTAGTGGCAACAACAGATCAAGGACCAGATATTTGCGACAAAATTTGATGGCGTGTTTTAATCGCGTACAAGTAATCAACATTAGTAGTTTCATTTTTCGATCTCTATGTATAGGTTGCAGCTGCCTTCGAGCGAGTTTGGGCTTTCCGAGGGGCGCGGAGCACTAAACGCAAGATATAGAATCCTGGAAGCGTGAGTCAGGAAATGTCGTGTCAAATTCGTTGCCACATTTGAGGAGATATTCGAAAGTGAATAATTCAAGGGGAAACGAGCACAAAGGAATCGTAACTAAAGAAGTTCTTATGACGCAAGTGGGACACTTCTTAGAATTATGTAATATCTTAGTTCTTTAAAACAATTAAACATCTAGCAGGGATATGATAACTAATAAATTATAAAAAACAAGGACATAATACAAAATAATTTATATTTTAATATTGCCCCAATAATAAATTAAAGAGAAGGTTAATTAATTACATATTAAAATAGTATTATTATAATAACAATAATTTTAATAACAATTTAATGTCACTATAAAAATACCAAGAAGAAAAAATTAAAAATCTTTCTGTTTTAAGAAAGAAAGTACATACGTGCCTAATTATCATGTTAACCAGATCTGCCTGCAGTTCTGACGCAACTTTGTATTTCTACCTTTACCATCAGGACACAATTTTTGCCAAAAGCCACTGTTGTCCGTAACGCCCTCACAACATGTATTAGCCTTCCAGCCGCATTCTCGACATGAATGGTGACGCACGATTTGTGACCACCAGATTCTTTGCGATTCTTTTTGACTGGAACATTTGAAGCCTCCAAGTAACTATAAATTTAAAATAAATTATTAGGACGAAGCCACCACTAGTTCATAGAGTATGAAACCAAGAGAAAATATGGGTATTGTGAAGTACAGATTGTTCTATATAATTAACACCACATGCGAATTCTTTAATTCAATTAATAAGAAAAAAATATACATTTCTTGTATCATTAAAAAATATAGCAAATAATCTATAACAGCAAATCATAACTAACATAAAATTGTATGCCATGTATTTCAATGAAACTCTATCCATAATCAGGGCTTGAGTTTAGCAGCATGCGACAGAAACGCTGTTCCGCCGTAACCTGGGGAACAAAATAAGAAAAAGAAAGAAAGGAAAAGACAAAAAGCAGAAAACAAACGCTTGCATTTAAGTTCGACCAAATTTGAAAACCAAAATAAGTAATTTTTCACAAACTGTATTAGTTCACTAATGTTAATAAAATTATTAATAAAAAGTTTTTTAAAAATCATTACTGCCTCTTGCAGCCAATCCTTGCTCTGCTGCCCAATTGCTGTGGAAGAGTTCCCAACGCATTTCAGGAGAAAAAAAAGCATAGAGGGTTGAAAAATAATGAAAGAATTTTCACAGATTTGACCAATTCTCCAAAAGACAAAATTTGAATCGTACTTAGGGAAATTATAAAACTATATTTTCCATAACACCTCAGTGAAAAGTTTGTGTTCCATAATTTTATCACAATAATATGACAACCTTTTCACATTCATAGGAAAAAAATTGACTAAATAATGAAGAGTAATTAAATGTGAGAAAAGTATAAACAAAATTCTTGCAACTCCTACAAATAATGATCTGCTTCAAATTTAAAAAAAAAAATGTTCAACTGTGTTATCACAGCTAACACCGGTGCTTTGAAAATTGTCGCATAAATTCCCGACTTGCCGAAACAGGCGGGAATTTACCTGAGAATTTTCAAAGCATGAGTGAATTTAATAGGACAATTCCAAGAGTGAAATTATGTCCAACAGAGTTTTCCAAAATGCTGAAAAAAACTAAAAATCCTATGTTTAAAATCACATGCGAAACAAGCGATAAAATTAATACATCGCATCCTAAATAATGAGTCAAGTTTATGATTGCCAGTAGGTAGAAGCGCAAGAACCAATCGATAAAAAAAGCGATAAATTTTGGAGATACAACATCTCTGATTGGGGGCATTTTTGTATATATATTACACCACTATTGGTTTTAATTTCACGAGTGGAATAATCCTGTAAATTGTTCAGTTCATACATATCATTTGTTATAATAAAAGAAAATTACACTATTTTCTACAATATAAAAAAAAGTATTAACATTTCCTGTTATTCTTTGCGAAAAACTTTCAGTCAATTTATTTAAAATTAATCTCTGATATTAATATTAACTAAATTTCACTTATGGTAGTCCTTACAAGATAATACTTTAAAATAAATGTGAACAAACGCACGTGCACAGAAACTGAGACACGGCATCCAAAAAGAGCGCGCTTGGTTGCTCCCCGTGAGCAAACGAGGCGAAGACGAACCAGCTACAGCAAGTCTTGTGGCGCGCGCGAACAGCATCGCCAGTCTGGGATTAAGCTGGCGGAAGTGGAGTGCATTGCACCGGCCAGGAAAAAGGCCACAAAAGCGCTGTCACCCACAGACAGACAAAGGTCATACCAGAAGACGGCTACATTAGGTAGCAGATGAGAAGCTTTAAAAGAGGCTTGACAGGACGAGAACCGAGATGAAATTGTTTTTCGGGCCGGAAGCTGCAAGATATGTACGACCCAGTGACGCATCTGGCATGCAATTCACATTTTATATCAAAGTTTTGTAATAATTTAAACCTAATGTTTATAATTCATGATTAATGTAGTTTTATTTCGTAATCTAATATAGCGAGGATGATCGAAACGATCATTAGCAAAATAAAAAAAATGATACAAACAACACTTTTAATTTACCCAATTTATTTATTAGAAGGTATCTCTACCTCACAGCGATCTAAGTAAAGAGGGTGAAGGATTGTTCCAGAGCGAAACCCGCTCCTCAGCGAACACGCCTATTTCATGGACAAGCATAACAACACCAATATCCGGCTACAAACAACAACAACAACCAACAACAAACAACAATTAATAATAATAATAATAATAATTAATAATCCAGAAAGTATACCAATCTCGCCTATTCCAGAAGGTATACCCAATCTCGCCTATGAAGTTCGCAACTCAGGGAACTCAGTAAAGTTGACGACTGTGCCTATAATAATATCAGCTACGGATGATCCGAAAATGACACTTCGAGCACTGGAGTGTCTTCACTGGATTACAAAATGTATATAATATGCAAAAGACATAATTTTGAATAACATGCCGTTATGTCAGAATCCGTCTGAACCTTCAGTAAAGCAACCAACACCGGGTCATCATAACATGTGTGTGGTTGAACATACCGCAGTAGATACTGTGAATAATGTAAGCATAATAATAATAATAATAATAATAATAATAATAATAAAATATAATAATAATAAATAATAATAATAGCCTTATTAATTATGGCGAGGCTCGGGCCATCAGGCTCGCTCTTCCGCCGAACCACATGTCACAAAGATTACAGAAATAAATGTATTAAATAGTAAAATACAAAAAAAGTAAGTTATTAAAATTAAATTAATGTAATCTACAAGTTGTAAGATTGAAGTGCAAAGCAAAACGTTATTTAAAGCAACTTATAAATAGAAACATCAGAGTTAAATGGATAAAATTGTTACAATAATAAATTCGAAAATAATTTTAAAAATCAAGTCTGAGATTGAAACATAATTTGAATTAAAAAAATTATGTGCTTTAAATTCTGCGCGCTACGCGCAAGCCTGTATTCACCCGAGCGACTGGGTGATCTATTAATACAGGAAAACACCATCACACGTCGCTTCGATCCTGGAGGAAAACCCCGCTAGTCGGGGAAAAAACCAACCAGGCAACTGTTCCTAATTAACAATGGAAAAACTAAGCTAACCATGAAGTAACGGCTTTGGATGCGTATCCTCAGCTGCGGTCCAAGCTCAAAGGGTGGGTTTTCTTGTTTAAAACCCCTGCTCCGACGGATAAAGTACAGTTCACAGTATCAAACAGTCCAAGAAAGTAACATTTTTTTTACAAAAGAAAACATTAATGTTATTTCTAAACATATTAATCTTAACACTCCTAAGGAATAGTTTTTATTTGACCCGTAATCTTCAGTGATTTAATAGCAAAATGGTGTATTTTTACTTGTAAAAAAAAAAACCATGCAGGTGCTTCTTAAAAGATGTTAATGAAGAAGAGTTTTTTAATATTGGGAGCAATTTATTCCATTCCGGGGCTTACAGTAATGCGAACCATTTTATTGTATAGCTGGTTTTGCTTTTTGGAATGCAGAGTAACTGTCATTCTGAAGTCTAGATGATTTAATATGTACAAAAAATTTGTTAAGTATGTCGGGGAACCCATTTTTAGCAATCTTAAATAAAAAGACAAGGCTGTGATACAACGCCTATCCTTTAGTGTAATATTTTGTGCTGTTATAAACTCCAGAATGTGATCGTATGTTTTTTATTATAAATGAAACGGAATACAGATTTTGAGCCTCTGTAGAGTTTATGAGCGAGTGAATCCTTTTAAATTGTTATACACAATATTCCCGT